TGAGAACCAAATGGATCCAAACTGCCTGAATGAGTTTCTATTGGCCCCGGAACCGGAAAGGGAGCTTTGAGAAGGCCATAGGAACTTTTTCTTGGATGCTAATATGCTGATTAGCCCCTGCTAATTCTGATTAACCCCTGCTGTACGTTTCTCAGATTTTTTACATTATCAACTGTTCCTTATGTGAGAGCACATAATCACATAACTCTGCCCTTAGGTCAAAACAACTGTGATTTCATCACACAAATTACAGGCTGTGATGTACACAGCATTCGCATTTTTGTTTTTCTGGAAGTCCAACTTAAATTGTCCCACACAATAACATGCACACCTTTTTCCTATAGCATCTAAGCCTTATATCGGGGGTGGGGGTGGGGGTGGTTAACAGCATGGAGACCCATCTGTCTTGTTGTCACCCATGACCACGCACCTGTTCATAAATTCAATAAATGTACTGATGGTGGACTTGTCTCATTATTTTTTTTGGTTTTTGGCAACTTCTGCATTTGGGCATCCTTTGCACGGAAATTTTACAAAACTGGCAAGCTAGCCAGCACAAGCCCAGAAGCCAAAGCATGGGCAAACGGAAATAAAGACTGGAGAGGAAAATCTGGGTTGTGCCTCATCTGTTTGGAGTGTTTTTGCTCATATTTTAGATGCCAGTGGACTACTAAATAAGTACAGGGATACCCCTAAAATCTCTGGAAGCCCAGAGAACTTGTTACTGAAAAACTGCATTACCCCTTAGGACAAAGAACGTCACCATGTAGCATCACCAGGGGACTGGCCATTACTAGGGGTTTTGCAGATGGCTAACAGAACCACAGGTGTCAGCTGAAGGGTAGGACAGCTAGATGAAGAATTATGGTTATAAAGAGAAATGAAAACTTCCACATGTATGTTAGCAGTTAGCTTTGTGTAGAAGTTTGAAACTAAGGAAATGCCGGCGAAAAATCTGTTTTTTGCAGCTTGAAGGGCATAAGCTGTCGAGGTAGTCCATCTGTATTCAACAATTAGAAGGACAATAAAATCATAAAACTACTCTGAATAGGCAGCAAGTAAGGACAAGATTTGTATGAGTAGTTTCTGAACCCTGGAAAATGAGATTTGTGAGAAATAAATTAACGTACAACAGAGAAACCAAGTATGCCTTGATAATTTATAAGATCTACTTTGCTTACAAATGACCAACTCTTCTGGAAATTATCTGTTTTGATCCATTATTTCGATTTCCTTCCAAAGACAGGCATACACACACTTCTCACTTTATACTTCTCTTGCATGATGTTTATTTTTTACTTGATATATTGTATATCGGATTCAGTATTAATCAAAACAAAACCATCTCCAAACATCAACCGGCCCAGAAAAGTGCCATGTGCAAAGAAAAATATTGGGTAAGATTTTATTTTATTTATTTATTTATTTTTTGGCCAGGGCTGGGTTTGAACCCGCCACCTCTGGCATATGGGACTGGTGCCCTACCCTTTGAGCCACAGGTGCCACCCCTGGTAAGATTTTATTGATAATGACTTAGGATTTAAAGATATGAATTTACATTATATACTCTTACATAGCTTTATTATAACCATCAAAATATTTCCATAGCTACAAAAAAGAGAAATACATACAAAATTGTAACTATGACAACATTCTTTAAATTACTGAAACTTTAGTCTTCAGAAAGAGATTGCCAGAAAAGTTATTCCACTTTGCTACCCAATAATACATTATTTTCATCTGTTAACTACAGTCTATTTTCTTTTTTATAAATATTTTTGAGACAGAGTCTTACTTGGTCACCCTTGGTAGAGTGCAATGGTGTCTTAGCTCACAGCAACCTCAAACTCTTGGATTCAAGTGATCCTCTTGCCTCAGCCTCCCAGGTAGCTGGGACTACAGGCACTTGCCACAATACCCGGTTGTTTTTAGAGACAGGGTCTTGCTCTGGCTCAGGTTGGTCTCAAACCTATGGGCTCAGGCAACCTACCCGCCTCGTCCTCCCAAGTGCTGGAATTACAGGCGTGAGCCACTGAGCCCAGCTTTGTTTAACTACAATCTTGATAAGATAGTTTAACATTGTTGGCAGGGTAACATTTCATTCATTGTATATTGGTGTCAAAACATTATAACCACCAGGCGCAATGGCTCACGTCTGTAATCCCAGCACTGTGGGAGGCTTGAGGTAGGAGGGTGGCTTAAGCCCAGGAGTTCAAGGCTTATCTAAGTGAGAGGGAAACCCAGACGCATGAACAAAAGTTGAAAAACCCAGCCAGGCGCCACTGCGAGCGCATGCAATCCTAGTGGCTTTGGAGGCTGAGGCAGCTGGATGCCCAAAGCCTGAGTCTGAGGTTGCAGTGAGCTACAACACCATTGTACTCTACTCAGGGCATAGGGTAGAACTATGTCTCGACAAAAAAAAAAAAAAAATTGAGAACCATTTAGTTTTATTAATTAAAACAAATAACCCATAGGCTAAATAAAGCACTTTAAAATCTATATGCTCTCTGGTCACAAGTAGTTAAGAAGCACTGTGTTTTCTCTAAGATAGTAATCCTGGAGTTATGCTTTCTTTAATTTTAAAAAGGGAGGCTAATTATTTAGTGCACATGGATTTAAAAACATATACAAACTTTCAAACAGAAGTTTTTGTCCCTTCCCTCTAATATCTGTGAAGATGTTTCTGTTTCAAACAAAACTCAAAATTTCTGGCTCAGCACCCGTAGCACAGTGGTTACGGCACCAGCCACATACACTGAGGCTGGCGGGTTCAAATCTAGCCTGGGCCAGCTAAGACAACAATGACAACTACAATAAAAAATAGCTGGGCATTGCAGCAGGTGCCTGAAGTCCCAGCTACTTGAGAGGCTGAGGCAGGAGAATAGCTTACACCCAAGAGTTTGAGGTTGCTATGAGCTATGACACTACAGTACACTACCGAGGGTGACAAAGTGAGACTCTGTCTCAAAAAAAAAAAAAAAAAATTCAAAATTTCTATTTCCTATAATACATAAAATAATACTTAAAACTTCTATTTTATTCTATCATAACAATTTGTCAGTATTTTAACTGGCCATATTTTTCCTACATAAGGAGCAACTGGTAAAATGATTTATGTTGAAAATTCAGAACATTTCCCTCTTATATAGAAGAGAAATGCCCTCAGTATGATACTGTGTGCTTTATGTATCTTTTTTTTTTTT